AAGGGTTATTACTCCCCCACCCCTTCTGCTAACTCTTCTCTCTACCTGCCTCTTCCTTCTAGATGGTTCCATTTCTGATCTAATGAGAGACAGGGTGCCAAAGAGCTCTTCCCAGTGAGCTCCTCTATCTGCCTTCCTGTTTCTCATGAGCCCCACATGGTGGCTGTGGCTAGTCCCAGGAAGCACAGTTCCATTCAGACATAAGCCCTGCTTCTGTCTCCCCCTCCCCAGACACGACTGCCCCGTTCTCAGCCTGTTTTCTTTTTTTTTATTGTGAAAATACTGTACAGAGGGGTTACAATACATGGGCAAGATAATGAGTGCATTTCTTATCAAGCATTGTAGCCTCCTCCTTTGTTTCCCCTTCCCATCCCTTCCCATCCCATCCTCCACCCCACTCTCCCCACCCAACACTCCCCCCACCAAAGTTGTAAAGTTCATTTTTGACATAACAACTTGTACATCTCATTGTTGCAATGGGTACACTTGTATCCCTATTTAAATGATTTGTTTTTTCCCTTCCCCTCCACAAATTTTAGTGACATCAAATACAGTGAAAGCAGGGGTTATACCTTGGGGGATCAGCCTGCTTTCTATCTATGACAAATGACCTTTATGGGACAATGGAGAGAATTACACAAACCTGAGATGCACAGGTGCCAGGCCATACCATCATTTTGTCAGCCACCAGGAAGAAAGGACAATGTCCAGTCACCTAGGGTGTGTGCACTCGAGGGGGCACACATGACAGGGCCCTCCAGCCACTCAAGTAGGGCTCAGGGCTGAACTCCACACAAAGCAACTTGGCTTCCTGAAAGGGGCTAGGAGATGGAAGTCTTTGATACCAGTGTAAGGAGTTAGTGCGCCAAAGTCAGCTTGGTGATGCAGGAGGGAAATGTAAGGGAGAATTTCATGCTGGTTGAAACAGGATGACAACTCACACAAGACAGGCAGGCCATCGGCGCAGGATGGCTCTGGCTTCTGGAGGTAGAGCTCTCCAACTGTTAGGACTGGTTTCTGGGCCAGCGGGGAGTAGGCAGGGAGGGTCCTACCTCTGGTCATCTTCCTAGCTTTGGGAAAGTGGGCGGGGCGAGGGGAACCATTTCTCTGAGAATGGTTCACTTGCTATAGTGAGAAGGAGAGCAGCAGATCCTGTGGGATTTTTCAACATTCACCCTCCCAGAGATCCAAGAAATCCAGTGATGGATTCCCTACGTTAACAATTCAGTATTCATCTGGACCTTAGGACTCACAAATTAGAAACAAATTTGGGCAGAGGTCCTGATTTTCTAGCTTTCGTTTGAAACCCAAGAAACAGCCTAACAAAACATTCCAATTAATCTGTCACAGGAAGGCCTTAGGTTTGCCGCATCTCTCACTGGAAACGTCAGTGTGCATACAAAGTGTGTTGGACTCTTCTTATTCTTCTGTTTTTGTGTTTTTTTTTAATCGAGTTATTTTTGGATGCTTTGTTACAGTCAGGATGAGTATGTTGAAAGCAGATGAGGTTGGTTTGGATTCCCTTGGGCGAACTGTCATCTTGGCGTCTTTGGCCTTTCAGGGGCTATTGGTCAATGATTGTCCTGTCACCAGGAATGGATGGAGGAACGGTCAGTCCTGACTCACTTTCTCTGATAAAGTCATAAACGGCAGTATTAATTCAGCAGTGCCTTTTGTTTGGGTCAGTGTGCTCAGAATGGACGTGTTTCTCACAAGATCATAAACACAGACTTGGGGACCTCCCCCATCATTACACTACCCAACTTTGCTGGGGCTACAGAAAAAGGAAAAAAAAGAAACACCCCCATACTGGCACAAACTAATATAAACTTCAAGTCTTTTTATAGTAATAGAGACATGGGCATATTAAATTATTATGCCACTTTTTTGCCAGGTTTTGACTGTTTTTGAATTCCATGTTTATAAAGCAAGCAAAGAGTTCCTAAGCTTGGCAGTTGCCTGGAAAGTTCAGAAAGAAGAATCTGTCTATGTTAACTAAAGGCAATTGCAGACACCTAGGCAGGTAGGCAGACAGGTCAAGAGGGAGGGAGGTAAAATGACCAGGGAGTAGAACAAGGGTACTGAGTCAAGGCTGAGAAGCCCTCCAAGGCCAAAGGTACAGCATCTGCCCTTTACTTGTTTGTCTCTGGAGTTCTCTGCTTTCCGTTTATCTCTCTCATAGATAACACTGTGTGTGTGTGTGTGTGTGTGTGTGTGTGTGTGTGTGTGTAAGAGAGAGAGAGAGAAAGAGAGAGGAACAGACAGAAAGAGACAGACAGAGACACAGAGAAGAAGAGAGAGACAGAGAGAAGCAGAGACCTAGAGAGCTGTGTTGGGTGCCATTGTTGAGTATTTGGGTCTGGTTTTCCACTCCACTGTTCACAGTACAGACTGTATTCCTCCCATTTTGAAGTGTTTGCTCTGAAGCCTCTCCACTTTTCTTTCTCCTCTTAGGAATCAAAGCCAGAGAATAGTTGCTTTTGATATTCTGAGTTCTATCACCTTTCTCATTTTTATGCTTTAATAACTTTGAGAAGAATGGTTAGAGAAAGGAAAAGACATGTGCCCTTCTTATCTATAGCATTTGTAACATTTTTCCCCTTTCCCTACATCAATCTCAATTAACTTTGGTTTCTTTCTTTCAAAAACCATGTGTTGAAATAATGCTTTGCCAGATGTGAGATCTCATTCCAACCAATTCTTCCTCAGCAAACACATACTTCGGCCTCATTTTAGTTGAATATTTTAGTTCTTTAAAAAAAATTCTTGCAATCATCTTCTACTTTTATTTAGTCATCCAGTGGCTTTGTTTGCAAGAATATCCTACTTTATCTTGGGCATATATGAATCATTTCAAGGTATTGCTTTTCTGTGGCTGTTGGAGCTCTTTTCTTTTTAATTTGTAATTTAAAAATTTGCCTGACTCTTATACATCACTTGTTTGTGCCAATTTCTGACACAAATCACACATTTATTCCTATTTCTTGTCACCGGGAAGCCAAATACAACATTACATAGTGTGTGATTTCCCGCCAGGCCCCACTTGAGTTCAGATCTACCGAAGGGTGGGGGCAGGTGGGGCAGCGGCTGGCCTGAGCGTAACTCGCAGTCTCCTTGGCTGTGGGAAGGGGATCTGCTCAGCACAGATTCTTCATTTTTATCTGCTTTTGTGCTGGTGCTGAGGCTTGAATTCAGGGCCTAGGTACTATCCCTTAGGCTTTTTTTTTTTTACTGCTCTACCACTTGAGCCACAACTCCACTTCTGACTTTTTGATGGCTAATTGGAGAGGAGAAGGAGGGAAGGAAGGAAGGAGGCTTCCATCTCAGACTCTGCTGCTGCTGGCCTGCTCTACTGACCCGGCTCTTGCTTGCTTACTCACAGAAGAAGGAGGTGCTCATCAAAACGTATTTCCCCAGGCCAGAGAACGTGAGAGGGCCTTGGCGAGTAGAGGAGGAGAAGGGGCTAATGGCAATGCTCTGCCTTCTCTTTCACCCTTCTTCTCATTCCCTGGTTGGGCATGGCCACTTCATGCAAAGTTAGGTTGAGTGCAGTGTTTCTGGGACCTGAGAGATAAGACTCTCAATGATTAAGTCCCAGGGACTTTCCCTCCCATCCTCCACTGCCCCCAAACTTCCATTTTCCAAAAAAGATTATCTGCTGTCCAACCACGATTTGCTTCTCATGAGTTGATGGTGACACCCAGGGGCCAGAGGATCAAAACAAACACAAGCTCCCACAGGTGGCTTTTTTATTCTTGTGTTTTCTGCTCTTGAAACCTCAAAGTAGGTTGTGTCCTTGCTCCATGGAATGTCGCACCATACATCATCTGAGTCGCTGAAATTTCCAAATCAGATTTGCCTTTGTTGCTCTAGTTGTAAAATATAAACATAGCCATAGGCTAACTACTCGTTTGATTTCAAACCACAGAACAACGATCCAACCATGACAAATTTCTATTTCTTCTCACAAAATCATGTCTAAGAGTGAAACTATTAATAGAAAGTCAAGAGGAAAAAAAAAGGAGAGAAGGGAAAAAAAGAGCTCTTCACTGATGGGGATGTTTTAAACATCTTGGTATTTGGGGACATCTGGAAAATTCACGGCTTTTTTTGGGCAGTGGGTTCATGTATCAATTTATCATCCAGATGTTCAGCATCATGGAAGTACCACTTCAAACTTAGTTTCAGCTTATAACGAAGAGTGGGAAAATCTATGTCATTGTATTTGTCCTTCAGCATTCTGTGTTCCCTCATTCCTCTTCCTTAGTATGTCCTGGGGTATGGCAGGGTTTTCATATGAATGTGCTAACCTTAACAAGTGTGTGTGTGTGTGTGTGTGTGTGTGTGTGTGTGTGTGTGTGTGTGTGTTGGCTGGTCCTGAGGCTTAAACTCAGGGACGGGGCACCGTCTCTGAGCTTTTGTCCTTGAAGCTAGTGCTCTACCACTTGAGCCACAGCTTCACTTCCAGCATTTTTGGTGCTTAGCAGGAGATTCAAGAGTCTCATGAAATTGGCTGCCTGGTCTGGCTTCGAACAGTGATCCTCAGATCTCAGCCTCCTGAGTAGCTAAGATTACAGGTGTGAGCTATCAGCAACTGGTTCCTTTGCCTTTTTTTTTTAATCTTCAAGACCATACTGTACCCTGTCTGCCTGAATTACAGATTACATTTGTCAAACAATGACACTTGCAACAGGCTGTCTTCTGAGGCCTTTGAAATCGGCTTCCTTGAGTAGAGATTAAAGTAGCTATTACGTGCCCAGCCACAGTCAAGCCTAGGAAGCATGAAACCTGTGTCCAAGGGTTGTAGGCTGGGCTGCTCCAGCGTGACAGGGTGGAGGGAAAAAAAAAACAGGGCATTGCTTTCTTCTGGAAAGTTGTAGATAGTTATGCAAAGTAGTTAAATTGTGGTCCCATCGGGAAGGACTCTGAGATCAGCATCTTTGGGAGACATGAGTCTCTGTGGATGCATCCTGAATCTCTGTGTATCTTTTGGCATCCAGGAAGCCTTATCCGTTGTGAGTGAGGACCAGTCATTATTTGAGTGTGCCTACGGAACGCCGCACCTGGCTAAGGCCGAGATGACAGCATCCTCCTGCAGCGATTATGGCCAGACCGCCAAGATGAGCCCACGTGTCCCCCAGCAGGACTGGCTGCCACAACCCCCAGCCAGGGTCACCATTAAGATGGAATGCAACCCCAGTCAGGTGAATGGCTCCAGGTAAGGAGACACCGGCCTTCTTCTCCCTGACCTCTGCTTTGTCATCCTTGGAGAAGACAAAATGGATGTTAGTTCCCCTCCCCCCCCCCGCCTTCACCCAAAGAAAAGGTTGTCTCAGCAAATGTGCGGGAACGTTGAACAAAGCTGAGAAATGTGTTCTCCAGGGCTTTGTGCTGAGGGAGAAGTTGTAAAAACCACAGTATATGTACCGAGAACTCTCTTTGAAGATGGAGGGAGCAATTCTGTTTCCCAGTCGCGAGAGCCGGGTGGGAGGGGAGCTCTGCCCACATATGTCAGGCGTCATCTCTGAGGTTTTATTGTCTGGGACACAATGCTGTCTTGTGTTTGTACCGGAGGGAGGGTGTCAGCTTATGGCCCGCCAGTGAAGCAGATGCCTACCCCCGTTTGACTTTGTGAAGAGATGCATTTGTATGCCTGCAGTCCACTCCACCACCGCCGGGGTCCTCTTCCTCTCCGTGCAGGTGACTTTCCTCTCATAACTTAGGCTCTGATATCTCTCGCAATCATGCTATCCTGGCTTCTTTGTGTGTGTGGGGGGGAGGGGAGGACGCTCCAGAAAATAGAGCCACCATGTAGAATGTACCAGTGCATCCTCAAATGCATAACGGTCACCAGCAGCCAGAAACATTTCATGACAGGTCCATCAGAAATGTGTATTAATGTACATTATAGTACATTGTCCTAATAGACTGGAGGGGGTGAAGAATATGACCCTCAACACAATGAGGGGGTATCTTCCTCTAAGCACTGTGGGATGTACTTTTCTACCAAAAGCCATACGAACAGTCCCCGGCCCACAGCCTGTGGAGCAGCCTGTGAGGTCAGCAAGGCCCCAGGCGAAGCCAGGGGATGTGAGAAGAGCTAGCCAAGGAGGCATTCTCTGGCTAAGTCAGAATCACCACTGCAGGGCGCTCTGAGCTTAGGGATTCAGACCGGGGCCCTGGAGTCCACACCCTGGGACTGTTAATAGCGTGCCTTCGTTACAGGAATGTGGAACCATCATATTTTATAAGTACTGGAAACCATGACATCACTGCTGGTGTGATATGGTGTGAACAGAGAAACTAAGTCACAAAGACTCAGAACTGCCAGCAGCAAAGCTGAGCGCCCACAAAGAAGAGGCCACCCTTTTGTGTGTGTGTGTGTGTGTGTGTGTGTGTGTTGTGTGTTATTGGCAGTATTGGGTTTGAATCAGAGCCTTGTACTTCTCAGGCAAGTGTCTTACCACAAAGGCCACAGCTTCGATTATTTTCCACATAAGTATTGTGGGTTTTTTCCCCCTGGCCACTCTCGGACTGTGACCCTTCCACATAGATAGGTGAGACCACAGGTATCAACTGCCATGACCAGATTAATGATTGAGATGGGTCTCACTAACTTTTGTCATAGACTGGCCTCAAACCATGGTCCTTTTGAGTAACTGGTTTTATAGGCGTGAAGCATCACACACAGCCACATCTCACTTTGTCTTGGAAGCAGGAATCACTGGTGCTCAAAGGTGCTATGGTAAGTCGAGGTCATCCGGTAAGAATTCAAGGCAGGTTGGTTTGAGTCTTAGAAAGAAAAGAATTCCTGGCATTTGAAAGGACCTTGGCAGGACAGGCAAACTTAGGCCTAGGCATAAGATTGTTTTGTTTTGGTGTCGGTCAGTACCTAGTTTTGAACTCGGGTCTTCACTCTTGCTCTACCACTTTTACCATACCTCCAGTCTGACTTTTTGCTTGTTATTTTGGGGCTGGGGCTCAGTGAACTTTTCTGTTCAGTGATCTTTTGGATCTCAGCCATCTGAGTAGCCAAAATTGCAGGTGTGAGTTACCAATACCTGGCTAGGAAATGAATCATTCTGGGCTTTTGCACTAATGCCTATCCATTTGATAAAATGTTTCTGTCCATCATGAATGGTATATATGTTCTGAGACTTATAAGAATCGAGTATAGTATTCTGCTCAGTGCAACTATTTTTTATGTTTTCTATAAAAAATATTGGACAACTTAGCCTGGGACTTTGAACTGCACAGATTCCTCTCCTAGCATAGTCATGGTACAAGCACACAGAGCAAGACATATTTCTAAAGCATTTGCTTTTGTGGAGGCTTATTTTTACCTACAGGAAATACAAGGTTTGTGTGTATATGTGTGTGTGAGAGAGAGAGAGAAAGAGAGAGAGAGAGAGAGAGAGAACTGAGAGAGGAGATAGGGGCTTTGTGGTGATTTCCACTGGCACCAAGCACAGAGCCCTGGGCCCTGGGCCCTGTTTAAGCCTCCAGCAGGGCCCAGCTGCAGGAAAGCTAGTGCACACGTAGCTGTGCTCAGCGTGGAGACAGAGTGAGGAGAGGGCTGCAAAATTGAAGTCCCTGCTCTCACTGCTGCTCCTCAATAGGAAAAACAAAGACAACCAGTGTCCTGCTTGCTGCAGCGCCCCCCTGGGAGCCCCAGACTGGCGGGCACTCAGCGGGCTGGCTGGCCCAAGGTGGCCTTTCCTGCCAGCAGAGGTTCTCAGGGTATCGGGACTGGGTATCGGGTAACCTGGAACCCTGGCTTCAGGCAGGTTCCTCACCCCGTGAATGGGGGACGCTGTAGCGACTGTGGTCTCTGTTGGGGAAGAGGCTGGTGTTGGACTGCGGGCCTCTTCCTGGGAAAGGACTTCTTTTTGGGGGGCTCTGGACAGTTCCCTGCAGAGGAACAATGGTACCCGCAAGCCTTTCCTGTCTCCACACTGCCAGCAGCCTCATAGCATGAACTTATTTTTTCTTTTTCCTTTTTTTCTTTGTTTCCCTTAGAGCTTAAGCTGAGGGCCTGGGTGTTGTACTTGAGCATATTTGCTCGAGGCTGATGCTCTACCACTTCACGAATACTCCTACTTCTGGCTTATTTTTGTGGTTAGTTGGAGATAAGAGCGTCACAGACTTCCCGGTGCGGGCTGCGTGCTTTCCCAGGCTGAGCCTTGGAGATGTGATGAGTTACCTGGGCTTTACCTGTCCAGGTCATGTGACTGGTCCCGCCTCATATCAGGAAATGAGAAGCTATGATGGCCCCTTGGAAAGCATGCTTGCTCAGGGTAAGGGGGTGATAGAAAAGAGGGCTTCACACAGGGGCTGTGCATCCAGCCATTCATAAATCCGTAGAGTGGCTGTGTGTGGAGTGGGCCGGTCATTCACCCGTTCGGCGACGTGGCCCCAGACACAGCGGCCTCAGTCAGTGCTCATGCGTGGGACCGTCCATCCTTTCAATAACATTTACTCACGGGGAGACCTGCAGTCCTTCACACCCGTCAGTAAAGACTCAAGCTAGAAGAAAAACCCAGATGTTCTTAGCACTGGGAGCTCACGGTCGACGCCTCATCTTCCCCAGTGGCCGAGGAGCCTTGCCCAGGGACTGAGCTCTTAGGGGTCATCAGGGTCCACATCAGGCTGTGCACAGCTCACTGTTTAATATCTGCAAGTGTGCCCAGGCCCTGGCCTCTCCATGCCCGTTTATTTTGACTCACTGGTGTTTGATGTCACACACATCTCACCTTTCCTGTGGCTATTGATGCAATCTCTTGAGCTGGTGACACAGCACGAATTGTCTTTGCTCCATTCTGCCTCAGGGCTCTTGCTTGGCTACCTTCTAGGCTGTGGGTGGCGCAGCACTGGGGACTTTCAAATGGTGGATTTTTTTCAGGCTGCTTTAGCACACATCCTCGGGAATGAGCGGCTTTCGATCAGAGCGTCGTGTTTCCTGGTTCTAGAGGCTGAGAAGGGCAGCTTCCTGGTTCACAGAGGGTGACTGCCTGCTGTCCTCACCTGTTGGGAAGGACCCCAAGTGTTTACCCCACGGTGAAGCCTGCACTCTCAGCCTCACTCCCCACAACGGCCCATCGCTAGCTGCCACCCTAGTAGAGCTGGGGCTTCACTCTGAATTCTGGAAGGGAGATAGCTGCCCAAATGAAGTCAGTTACTAATGGCTCAAATGACTTGTAGGCTGTGGGTCTTTGTGGGGGACAGTTCATTGTGCTGCACAACGATGACACGGGTGGGGAGAAGGGAAGGGTGGGAAGGGACAAAAAGGCTCAGCTTCTGTCTGCCTTTCTCAAAGAGGCTTTTTCCTAATCCCTTCTCTGCACTCTACTGTCTTTACTCACTTAAGTCAATGCATGGCTGCCATTTTGTAGAAGAGGAGAGCAGGGCGCCATTTTGTAGAAGAGGAGAATGGTTGCATCCCTGTTTTGACACAAATGACTCCTGTGGGGTGGCCCTGGGTGCTGTCAGTGGGGACGAGGGGCCGCTTTTCCACCTTGAAAGTGAAATGATTTCACTTAGGATTTATAGCACCCATTATGTCCCCCTACCCGTAGTTTTCAAGATGTAAATACCACATGAACTTGCTGATAGCCATTTTTGGCTGTACAGAGAACTATATACTTAAACAATGAGACATTCTCTGCTCAAGGTGGAAGCCTCTTACAGGGACAGAGAATTAACTGTCGGGGGTGTCAGTGGTACCTTTTTAATTAATCTTGTTGTTTTCAACTGCTTCAGAGAAGGGGGAAGGAAGGGACAGGGCAGTTGGGAAGAGGCAGAAATTCCAGGTGTAAGGGAGAATATTTAGTCAGGGTAAAAATAACACACAGCTGTGAAGATAAACACCCACGGTGTCGGTTTGAGCCCAGAGTTCTACATGAATCACTGCCCAGCCCCGCCCGCCCCCAGCCCTCCCACCAGTGGGGTCTGAAGCAGCTTTTCCACCGCCTCTGATTCAGAAATAAAACAGACCCACAAATTACCCTGGAGCTCTCCAACAATCTCCTACTTGTCTAGGGTCCTAAAAATACCTTTTGTGGTGACTTACTGCCATTCACGCTGTGAAGCTTGATTAGAAGTTCGTTTAGTCGATTAGGGCTAAGTACAGGCTTTTTGGATCCCGTGAAGAAAAAGCCCTGAGGAGGGATGGCTGGCGGTGAGTCTAGAGCTAAGCCTGGAGCACAGGTCCCCAGCCAG